AGGTATATTTACAACACGTAGTCACGTAAGGCTTTGCGAAAAAAACGAACGTATATTAGCGGAACGCATTCTGACACTCTGATATCGTGGAACACTTTTTCCTTGAAACCAAAACGGACCATCATCAAGGCAGTAAAAGCTAGTTTTACCTTTTCAAATTTAATTTAATTGAAAACAGGTGTTCCGACAATTGATATATGATTGGGATCGTTTTGTACAAACGAATATACACAGTTCACACTCTACTTGACACATAACCCTTTTCATTACTTAGCTCAAATCTTTACTTTACCTCTTTGCAAATTGACGTTAACAAGTCGGTATTCAATACTGGTAACTGGACATTTTCTGTGGCCCTGTAACCGTTTTATTAATTCAAATTTTATTACTAACATAGCTTAAATGGCTTAAACTTAACTATTCTATAACTAAACATTCATTTATACATTCGTATATATAGGTCCCCATCTACGAAATATCAACCAAATCAAACTTCGATCGAATTTCACTCTTTACTCGAATTCGAGCGATTTTTCTGGAGGTCTGAAATTAACTATCCAGTTACATTCGTAGCAATATGTTTTATCCGATTTTTTATTTAAGATTTCTCAAACACAATAATATGAACTCTATAGCAATGATGCGAGAGGTCACGTACAGTATGAAAATAGTTTCGTTTTTTTTGGAAATTGATTCAGTTTTAGAATATATCCAAATTGCTTGCAAACTGCTGAAAACTTGCAATTCGTATTCAACACCAATCAAACAAATTCCGAATATAAACGTACAGGTTTTAGTCTAAAAAATAATATCAAATGCTAAAAATAAGTGTGAAAAAGTCACATTACATATGACTCAAATTCTCATTTTAAATGTACATAAGTTTCTCACTGCAATTAACGATGTCTATTCAGATCCTTCGCTCTGGAACTGCCTGTCGACTATAAAAATCGGCCTTAAAAAATTTATAAAGAAGTTAATGTCTAATTTATTTTGCCTCTTATCTGCCATTATAGTCACCACAAACAATTTTACAAAACAGACAGACCGTCTATAGAAAAATCATACGTCAGAAAATAAAGACAGGATATTAGCGGCTTTAAAAAAAAATCCGATAGGTATTAATAACAGCAACTGCAAAGTCTTCGGTGTTTTTTTTTTTTTTTTGTCAAAATAAAAGCCTGTTTGCTTGTTTGTTATGGGTATATATGGACACTAGTCCTAGGGTTTAGGTAGTATTAATATTGTGCAAAAATGACGTTGCCGATAACAATAAATAGAAAATTTGGTATGAGGTCTTTTTATTTAATTCATACTTACTACAGGGGGGTTTATATAAATCTTAACCATGAATATACGCGTGGAATTCTATTCACATGGAAATCATTATTCTCGAGAAATGTTTAAAAGCATTAATATTTGGAGAGAAATTATTTGTAAATATGGCAACGCTAATGGGCCTTTTTCGTATCTTGTGTATCCTATTTATTGTGCAAAATTTAAAATGCCTTTGTTTTTTTCAAAGGAATTATACAAATTAAATAAAGAAATTTACAATATTAGGATTCGAAAATAGGTGTGTGTGATGTTGACAAGTCGGAGAAGCAACAAAGAAGTTTGAAAAATCGCTCCTATAAGGCCAATTTCTTCAATGTCACTTGGTCACTTGTCTAAATCATATATATATATGAAGAGAATTCATTTGCGAATATGGCAATGCTAATAGGTACGAAAAGTACCTTGTGCAACCTATTTATTGTACAAATTTCATGTGCATTTTCTATAGAAATTGAATAATTTAAGTAAACAAATTTAATAATTAAAAAAAATCAGAATTCTAAAATACGTGTTGGATGTTGATAAGTTTCAGGAGTATCATGGAAGTTGGAAAATATGATGTTGGTCCAGGAAAAACAAACAATTGTCAATTTATTCGTAGAGACCAATCCCATATCGTCATCGGACTCTTCGGGTTCTTTTTCCATCTCCTTTCTTGGCTCCAGCAGCGGGACAGAAGCACCACCTCCGGTAACTATATTAAATGGTAAATTTTCTCTATGTCTCTTGGTCACTTTTAAAGTTATGAATATTTGGAAAGAAATCATTTATGAATATGGCAAAGCTAATGGGTCTTTTTCGTATCTTGTGTATCCTATTAGCTTGTGCAAATGTGAAGGGCTTTTTTACAAAAATTAAACAACTTAAATAAACCAATTTAATAATTAAAAATAATATTAGGATTCGAGGAGTAACATGGAGGTTTCAGAATATGATGTGGGTAAAGAAAAACTATTATACATTTATTCGAAGAGAGCAAAACGAATATCGTCATTGGAATTTTCTGGCTCTTTTCCCATCTTCTTTCTTGGCTCCAGCAACGGGGGCAGTAGCACCAGCACCGGTTCCTATTTAAAGTTTAAAAATATGATCCTAAATGGCAAATAGTTCTATGTCTCTTGGTCACTTTATACACCATGAATATTTGAAGAGAATATATTTGTGAATATGGCAACGCTAATAAACTTTTCCGTACCTTGTGTATCCTATTTGTTAGTGCAAATGTGAAGGTTTTTTTTACAAAAATTTAACAACCGAAATAAACAAATTTATTAATTAAAAAAATAATATTAGGATTCTAAAATACGTGTTGGATGTTAGTGAGTCTTAGGAGTAGCTTGGAAGTTTAAAAATATGATGGTTAAGGAATATAATATGGTTAAGGAAAAACAAACAATTGCTCATTTATTTGAAGATATCAAATCATCGGATTCTTTTTCCATATTCTTTTCTTCTTTTTCTTCCAATTTAAAGTTTGAAAATATGATCTTAAACGGCCAATGTCTTCAATGTACCTTGTTCACTTTTTTAATCACGAATATTTGAAGTGAAATAATTTGTGAATATGATGGGGTGGTGGTGGGTCTTTTTCGTAGCTAGTGTAGCCTATTTATTGTGCAAATTTGAAGTGTGTTGGTTTTTTCATGAAAATAAGTTAAATAAACAAATTTAAAATCTTAGGATTTGAATATTTGTGCTGGATATTGTCTTACACCTCTTTGAATACTTTTTCTACCATTTCTTTTTTTTACATTTTTTTTCAAACCATATTTTTGGAAAACATCCTACAAATTATATTTTTCTTGAGATAAATACAATATTGAGAGAATTCGCAATGCCTACCTTTTTTCGTCGGATTTTTTCCGAGAGGAATTTTCGTTTATGTCTGTAAAAAAGAAAAATAGAGAAATTTCACTCGGACTTGACTCAATTCCTTGACATAATTCTTAGCTAAAATAAAAGGTTAGTAATTTGCTGGGTAGGGTTGTGTAGGTCGACTTTTGTTTTTAGATAAAACTTGGGAGCACTCTCCCAGATCTTTTTTAGAGTCTATTAGAAATCAGGCTGCAACTGAGCAAGTGATTTCAGAGTCAATGATTGTATTATAGAGCCTTGTCCCAGGCCTAGTTCTCTACCTACTTTATGTTGTTTTTTTTCCAGAGGAACAATTTTTCAAATACCCCAAAAATATAATACACACAACTCCACCTAATGTAGGATATCGTTTTCCAAATATCCCTCAAATTATAACACAAACCACTCCACCCAATGTTCGAAAATCTCACGCCAATATTTATAAACAAACAATAAACCAAACCAAAATAAGACCACATAAATTAAGACTGTTTGGCAGACAACAATGACGACTGGTCTGGTTTGGTCTGGCCCGGTCTTCGCAGACGCCTCATTGTTTATGTTGAAAGAAAAAAAAATTCCAATAAAAATAAATTCAAAACGCTTGTGTTTTTGTTGCGAATTGTTAAATTAGTGCTTATCAGACGCATAAATAGCACGACTTTCGAAACAAATATGTTCAAATTTGGAAGATAAGTTGTTGTTTCTTTTTTTGCATAGTGCTTGTTTGTTTACTTTTTTCTTCTTCTTGTGTTCCAACAACAAAAAATGGGTGTGGCTCCCAGACATGGTCTCGAAATCGAACATAAAAATACTGCGCAGTTTTTGTGTGTTTGAATTCATCAATTCGTTCGAGCAAAATGTCAATAAGAATTGAGATTTGAATTTTTGATTCAGAAAAAAATTTCCGGTCAATTTGTTTTGTCTGTAAACGACCGGTAGTAGATTCCCTGCCTTTAAAGGCCTGTATAAGGTCTTTTCTCTATAGAGACCTGTAGAAGTCCTTTGTCCCTAGAATGTCTGTAGAGGTTTTGCGGGTCTATAGAAAATGTGAAGAACTTTTGCGTAATTTCGCTGGCGTTCTTTTAATGGAATGTAATGCCTTTGGGCTGCGGAAAAATTTTGCGTATTTTCCTTAACTATCCTTGTTTTTTATTACAATTTGGACTCTTTTGAGTTCTAATTCTTAAGATTCAAAGAGTCCTCTGGCGCGACAGCTCTAGCAGATAATTGGAAATCTAGGTTGGTTTTGTATACGAACAGCTGACAGAATTTCATCAACATTCTTCTCTGATACTTTTATAGGGCCCTCATATATTTCATTTATTTGGCGGATTGGTGGCTGGGTCTATCATCTGTCCGTAATAGACCTGTAGGTCTTCTGTCCATATTTAAAGAAGATCTCTAATAGGTCTTCTTTCTGTAGAAGACCTGTAAAAAGTTTTCCGTCCATGGAAGACCTATGGATTGTCTTGAGTTCATAGAAGACCTGTATAAGGTTTTCTGTCGATGGAGGGCTTGTAAAGGCCTAATGGCCGTCTAAGACCAATTTTGTGTATATCCTCTCTGTCCATAGCATTACTGTAGAACTTTTTTCTGTCTATAGATGACCTGTAATAGTTCTCCTTTTCATAAAAGACCTGCAGAAAATCATCTGTCCGGTCTCCTGTAAAACGTCTACTGTCCATAGAAAATTTGTAGATGACTTGTAACCAATCTTCTGATATCGAATCCTTTATAAACACGAAAAGAATGATCCTTTGTTCATTTTATTGTGCCACAAAAGACCCATGAAAATTTAGCCTTCATGGAATTCAAACTTTAATCGGAACAGTGGCTCCCTGCACCGCAACGCTAATAAATTTCTTTTGAAGGTCATAAAAATTCAAAGTAAAATTGAAATCCACAATTATGGTGTAGGACGGGAACATTTCGGAGGATAATTCAAGATCTGTTATTTTATAGGAGACATTCTGAAAAAAAAAACATAAAAAATAAATTAAAGTTAAAATATTGACAGGAAAATATGTTAGCTCACCCCCTTTATGGGACACGTAAATGGAAAGTTGCTCTTCGTCATTATTTCATTGAAAATTGTCTTGGCAATTGGTATGGGTAGGGCTTGCATTGTCAGCGTTTCGCAGATCTTCAAACGAACCTCGGCAAATTTAAGTGGCGTAATACGTTTTGCTGGCTTTATGTGGATCACTCCCAGGAACTCGGCATCCTTGGAGAGTTGTCGTTCCAGAACCACTGAAATATTGACATTATAACGATTTGTTTGCAATTTTCGAAAATTACATTCGAATGTCCGAACTAGAGAACCAAATTTCAGGCAGGTCACATTGTGAATTAGAAAATTGAAATGCCGTTTTGCTGTCTGAGAGGAAAAATAATTGTTAATTTTTTAAAATTTGTAAGAAATATTTTATCACACCTCGCCAGGGCCCAAAAAACTAACGACCATCAATAGCAGAAGAATACGCCTCATTTCAACTAAAATAATGCTTCAAGGCGTGAAAATGTTTTCGTTTTTAAAATTTTTTTTCCAAATTTTTCCAATGCGATGTAAAGCTGTACTGAAGCCAAATTTTTAAAAACTGCTATTCAAATAAATCGAATTAATCAAATAAAGTCATTTTGTTTGAATTTACCAAAAATAAGAGATTAAAAATTTGATAATGGCGTTAAAAGCATTTGGATATTTATTTTCGTTTAAATATGTATGAAATATATAATTAACACCTGCCGAAATCTCCGATATATAATATAGATTGTAGTTCAGTAATGACAGAATAATTTTGTGTAAAAAGCGTTAAAAAATCCCAAAAAGAAAATAAAACGATTTGGTCTTCAGAGACCTTCTATCGAGAAAACCTTCTAGGTGTCTTCCAAGATCCATTTGACAGGTCAAGTAAGCATAACGAAACACTTCCACTAACTTTTTCATACATGCTAAATTAGCAATTGCACGGATTTTGATAATACGGTCCCGATCAGCTGGTGATAAGACCAGCTGACTTTATCCGTGTTGTCAATTCATAGTGAATTAAGCTTATAAACTCGTAAACAAACCATTTGATAGTTTTTAAAACACAAACGCAGTTTTTCGTTGTACTTACACAACCTGATTATAGACCTTTGAGCGGATCTTATCGGATGACCCATGGTAGAAGAATTCAGGTAGTCGCATCGACACCGCTGCTGGGACAATGAACTGTCAAACCAATTTTGAATGGAAATTTATTTAAATTCGTTAAAACTGTTGTAAAATGCATTTCATAACAACCTCCTATTGACGTCTTATGAGAAAACATATAAAAATCTACTTATTTTTGAAGAAATATTTTTATAAAATTGATATATCAATGTTTTCAAGCGTTCATGCATCTACCTGTATTCTTCTATCACGGGATGACCTTATAAATAGGTTCTTTGTACAAAGACCTAAAATGGTAAAGACTAGACAAAATGCATTCTGAGCAAATGGTTTGTGGCTATACTACCTTGAATAACAGCTCATGGCATAGGCATGTTAATATAAAAAAACACAATTATAGGAAAGAATGACAAATAAAAGTTTGGATAATCCAAAATATTGGTTTCAAAATTCTATTCCATATACCATCCCAAATAATTGCATATGGCCTTAGCGGTTGAAATTGCTTAACATTTGTAACTATGTTTTTACGATATCATAACAACAGAGGTCTTTTTCACAGGGTTGCCATATTTTATTCTGTCTTGTCCTATCTTTATACTTTTATGTCTTTGCTTTGTACAGAACTAGGGATACGTAGGTCGACTTTTGATTGACCCGAAGAGTGATATTTGGTAATTAAAAAATTCACTTTTTGTTATCGATTTTCTAGTATGTAACGATTTACCCGATTTATATTTCCGATAGTGCTTAGAGTCAAATAAAAAAGTCATAATCGATTATATAATATGACCTATGACCTATTATATGACCAAAATCATAGCTATATAATATAAACTCTAATTCAGTTCCCAAAATATTTTAAGATTTCTTCTGTAGATACAGGGTGAGATAAAAAACCGGCAACAAAGTCGAACGCTATATTTTTTACATTTTTTTCAATTTTATTGAATGAAAGCAAAAAATGTCGAAAATAGCATCAAATTTTAGAATAAGTTTAGATTTGTTCGACTTGGTTACCTTTGGCACGAATTACGGCCAATGAAACCATCACACTCTGCCCGAATGTTGCTCTGCGGTATTTTGGCCCATTCCCGGCGAAGCGCTTGCTTGAGGTGATCGACATTTTGGTATTTTTTAGTGCCAACATTGCTTTCCAAAATACTCCAGACACAATAGTCCAACGGATTGGTATCCGGAGATTTTGTTGGCCATTGTGCACTGGAAATGGAGCGAGGAACATCATTTTGTAACCATCATTTTGCCGCTTGCTGAGTGCGATGGTGCTGAGTCCTATTGGAATGTCAAAGGTCTGCGGCCAAAAGATTTGCGTGCCCAAGGCTTTAATACACCCTCCAAAATATTTTCGCCATAATAACATTCGGCATTTATTCTAATGCCACGGTCGATTAATACGAGCGGAGAGTAATCATCAGCTGTTATGGCGGCCCACACCATCACCATGACCGGCGCTTGAGTTCTGGTGGCCAACCGAAGGTGTACATTTTCAGCTGACCTCTTTGGCAAGTAAATACGATCATTTCGTTTATTTACAAACTGCTGGACAACGAATGTTTTCTCATCGGAGAAAACCAAATTCGGCAGTTCACCACTTTCGGCCAAGCCAAGCAACTCTTTAGCTCTAGCTCTGAGTCTATTTTCTTTTTGTTGCGGTGTAAGTTCTTGCACTTTTTGGAATTTCAATGGCTTTATCACGAGCTCATTTTGCAATATTCGCGAATGGAATATTGCGATATGTTTAGCTCACGAGCCATTTTTCGGCTAATGCGACGCGGGTTTCTATCAAGTCGCTTCTTTACTTTTCGAACCATTTCTGCTGATATTTGCTGTTTTCTCCCATCCACTTCCTTGACGTCGGGCTACGCTACCAGTATTACAGTAAAAAGCGATGGTACGAGACACAAAAGATTTATTCATATTCAAATGCTGGAGTGCTCTAACGATAGCCACTTGTGGTTTTCCAGCCAAATATAAAGAAATTGCACACTATCACGCTTGAATTCCATCACGAATAACTTTTTTTCTGGAAAATGCTCACCAAAATGCTTTCGTATTCTTGTAAACAATATAATGAGCTGTCACTGGAATAATTTTAACAGCTGTCGGATGAGTGGATTAGAAATGACAGTAGTCTGAAGTTGGTAGCAGTTTTTTCAACTCAACCTGTTGCATTAGGGATATGTAGGTCGACTTTTGGTATAAACACGTCTTCACGTTTAAGTTAGAGAATGGAAGGAAAATTAAAAAATGTAATGTAAAGAGGATAAATTTCAATATTTTTACAAATTTCAATAACTTACCTGCAATTCTCAAGACCTTCTCCAGCGAAAATTTAATTGATCTATGCCAATTTACTAAGAAAAACGACTTTAAAAGAAAATATCAAACGATAACCGATAACTTAAGTTACTTGAACAGGAATATTTTGGATATCGTACCAACATATTTTTGACGAAGCCAACTTTCTACAACAACAAATTTGCAACAATTAGCCTGATTTTAAATTTAATTGCGACACAACGATATTTCAGTTCACAAAACTACGAAAAAAATAATTCAAGATTTCATCTGTAGATAGTATTAGGGATACGTAGATCGACTTTTGGTTGGTCGATTTATGGTATAAAAAGTCTTTAAATCAAAGTAGACTCTTGTCTGTGATAAGAATGAGGAAATCGATTTCGATTTCATGCATTTTTAACTACTTTTCACTTTTTGAGTTTCACAACAATTGACGTGTTTTAATGCACACAGACACATTGATCTTATCATTCGTCGATATATATCTGTAGTATTGTAAATTATAGCTCAGTTTCCCAAAATGCGAAAAAAAATAATCTCAAGATGCCATCTGTAGACAAAGACATTGAAGTGTAAAGATAGGACAAGAAAGAGTCAAGATATGGTAACCCTGTGAAAATACCTCTGTTGTTACGATATCATAACAACATAATTACAAATGTTAACTGATTTAAACCGCCAAAGCAATGTGCAAATTTTGGGAAAGGTCCATAGAATAGAATTTTGAAACCAAAATTTTGGATTTTTCAAATTTTTTGATGATATCCGTTTCCGTAATAGTGGTTTTTATATTAACATGTCTCTGCCATGAGCTGTTACTCTATGTATTGTAGACACAAACCATTTGCTCAAAATGCATTTTGTCCAGTCTTTACCATTTTAGGTCTTTGCTGTAGATAGAATTAGGGATACGTAGGTCGACTTTTGATTGATCGACTAAGGTATTTTCCTATCCATAGACAAAGTTCTTCTGTAAGCATTTTCCGCTATCCCATTACTTAATGACTCGAAAAGAATGCTAAATTCGGTTGTTAAAATTTTTCATCATCCTCTGATCTTTTTATTGCCTCACAAAAGACCTATGGAAATTTTTCCTTCATGAAATTCAATTCAAGCTTTAATCGGAACAGTGGCGCCTTGCACTGCAATGTTAAAAAATTTCTTTTGATGGTCATAAAAATTCAAAGTAAAATTGAAATCCACAATTATGGTGTAGGACGGGAACATATCAGAGGTCAATTTAAAATCTGTCATTTTATAGGTGATATTCTAGAAAAATACAACAAAATATTGGAATTATTAATAGTGAAATATATATTTTAGCTCACCCCCTTGATCGGACATGAAAATGGTGCATTGCTCTTTGTCATTATTTCATTGAAAATTGTTTTGGCAATTGGTATGGGCAGGGCTGGCATTGTCAACGTTTCACAGATCTTTAAACGAACCTCGGCAAATTTAATGGGCGTCATACGTTTTGCTGGCTTTATGTGGATCATACCCAGGAATTCGGCATCTTTGGAGAGCTGGCGTTGCAAAAACCCCGACATATTGAGACTGTAACGATTTGTTTCCAGTTTTTGAAAATTACATTCCAATTTCCGAACCAGATCACCAAATTTCAAACAGGTCACATTGTGAATTAGGAAATTGAAACGTCTTTTTGCTGTCTGAGTGGGAAAAATTATTGTTTGTTATTATTTTTAAAATTACGTTTAAGAAATATTTTATTACACCTCGCCAGGGCCCAAAAACTTTATGACCATCAATAGCAGAAGAATACGACGAGACATATTTAAATAAGGCTTCCCAGTGTGATATTGTTTTAAATGTTGAAAAATGTCCAATGCCAAATAAAGTTGTACTGAAGTGAAATTTAAAAAACTGTCATTCAAATAAATCAAAAAAATTAGTTTTTCAAAATTTACCCAAAACCAGATTAAAAATTGATAATAGCGTTAATAGCATTTGAATAGTGGTTTTTAAAATTGTATCGTTTTAATATAAGTATATATAAAATGTAATCAACACTTACCGAAACCTCTACTAAATAATATACATTGTAGTTCAGTGATGTCTGAAAAACTTTGTTGAAAAAGCGTCAAGAAAATAGTAGTAAAAATTGGTCCTTCGCAAGTCTTCAATCGAGAAGACCTTAGGGCACTATCGGACGGAATATTGACACCACAAACAATCAAAACTTGTATAAAAGGTGTTGTATCAAAATCTTGCAAAAGATTCAAAGAATGTGCTGCCTAGGCATCAGCGGTGCAATGGGGACTACATCATCTAGACTATGCTGTATATGCACCTAATAGAAATAGAGATGAGCTATGAGATTTATTGATTTATTGAAGAAGTTTAGCATTTTGGATGACCATTGGATTATATTTAGCTGTAAAATATACCACAACTTTCGTGTGAAATTGTTTTGAATACTTAACAGCACTATGGCGTGCGTAAATATTGGCCAAATTTGCCGGGTCAAAAAACTAAGGGTAACCTCTGGGCGGTGCTCTTTGACATTATTTTAAAAACAAAATCTTCCGAAATGCATTTGGATATAAGGAGACTTCGAACATATTGTAGTGTTGTAGGGTATCACATGGTCGCCGCCGCACGACTGTAGCCTTTGCTTACTTGTTTATTTTTCAATTTGAAATTATTTGTCAAAATGAATTTTAAGTTTCTATAACAACAACGTAGTTCTTGTAAAACGTTAGATGTTGTAGCTGATGTATAAATACACCATTTATAACTACACAGATGAGTAGATCATAATTATTATAATTTTTTATTACATATTGTTCTTTATGTTTGCATTCAACCGCAAATATTTTTGATGCTTAAAATCGCTTCCCGGTTGAATCAAAAATTGATGCAACATATATGTACAAGAATAATTATTACAAAAATTTCTATTAGTGATCGTTAATATGGGCAATTGCAAAAGAAATCGGCAAAAAACTAAGATAAAGCTACGCATCCCTATTTCTCTTTATAGATGACATCTTTAAATACTTTCATACTTTTTTATACCCTCCACCATACTATGGAGGGTATATTAATTTTGCGTGCATTTTGCCAGTAGGCAGAATAAGTTCGTAAATGGGAGATGTAGGTCCAAGTTATCATATAGCCCCCATATAACGGTCCCCCCGATATTCGGTATTTTGATGATTTTAGCGACATTATTTAACGGAATCATTCCAAATTTGGTATTTGAAGTTTGTAATAGATACTGCAGCATAAAACAGGAAATGGGCCATGTAGGTCCACGTCTTCGTATAGCCCCCATATAACGGTACCCCCCGATATTCGGTATTTTTATCATTTTAGCGACATTATTTACCGGAATCGTTTCAAATTTGGTATTTGAAGTTCGTAAGGGATGCTATATCCTAAGTCAAAAAATGAGCCATGTAGGCCCACGTCTTCGTATAGCCCCCATATGCCGTACCCCCCGATATTCGGTATTTTGATGATTTTAGCGACATTATTTACCGGGATTGTTTCAAATTTCGCATGTGAAGTTCGCAATGGATACTTCAGCCCATGACAGAAAATTGTCTGTGCAGGTCCACGTCTTCGTATAGCTCCCATATAAAGGTACCCCTTATATTCGGTATTTTGATGATTTTAGCTACATTATAAACATATTTAAATATTGTGATAACTTATGACAAAAGTTGCCTATGCAGGTCCACGTCGTCGTATAGGTATTCGGTATTTTTAATATTTTAACAGAATTTTTAACGGATTTTATTATTTTTTTTTTTTGTTTTGGAAATTGCCAAATTTGTACCAAATGGTGGAGGGTATTAAAATTTGAAAATTGGTATTTGTAGGTCATAATGGGTCCTAATTCGTGTGGCGAAATATTGTATGTATGGGTCCACGCTTTGTTAAAGCCCCCCTATAATGGTACCTCCCGATTTTTGGTATTTTGATGATTTTTGCCACATTTTTTACGGATTTGTCTAAAAATTGGTATTTGTGGGTCATAATGGGTCCTAGTTCGTGTGGCGAAACATTGTATGTATGGGTCCACGTTTTGATATAGTCCCCATATAACGGTACCTCACTATATTCGGTATTTTGATGATTTTTGACACATTTTTTCAAGAATTTCTCTGAAAATTGGTATTTGTAGGTCATAATGGGTTCTAGCTCCGGTGGCGAGACATTGCATCTATAAGTCCACGTTTGGGTATAGCCCCCTCCCGATATTCGGTATTTTGATGATTTTTGCCACATTTTTCCAACGAATGTGTCTAAAAATTGGCATTTGTGGGTCATAATTGGGTCTAATGTTTCCATTACCCTAAGGTGGAGGGTATTAAAAGTTCGGCCGAACTTAATGTTTTTTTTACCTGTTTTTGTATAATGTGATGGTCAAATATCGAATGTTATAAAATGTCACAACTCATCTCTTTTCTTTTGAAAGTACGTTAGGTAATATAGTTGTCCTTTTTGGCAAGGATAGGTCAATTCTTTTAGATTGTGTATTAATTAATAATCACTTCGCCTATTTTTTTTTTTTTTTTATAATGATCTCTGTGATGAGAATGTGTGATCTTAATTAACATTTACAATACCTGAGTACATTGGAAAATGTGATTGGCGAGTCAGTGATGACAATTACAGTGTTGCCACTACGTCTACCTTTGTGATTGACGCAAGCTTGTGTCTTAATGTATGACGTTTAACACAATGATGGCGCCAAACATAATGTACGCCCACAAAGAAAATAAGGCGATTCGTTTCACTCTAGATGAAACATTTCCTAGAAGATTAAAATTAAAATTGGCTTTGATTTGAAAAAAAAAAAATAATGATAAAAAAGGTCTAGAAATCCACTTTATTGTTGAGAGCAGAAATCGGAAAATCTATTGAAATTTTTGACTTCATATCCCCAACTAGAAACTCTTTGTGGGAACTTCCTTACTTATAAGACTTTCAATCGGTCCTCTTTTAAAAGGGGATCTTGCCAAAGCCCCAGTGCTGTTATATCACTTTATTGATTTATATATTTTTTTTGAGAAATACGACATCAATTTTATATTGGTTTCATAAAAAGACAAATCATTTCGGTACAGTGCGTCCCTCCAACAGCAATTCAGCAAAGGATTTGTAATCATTCATAAAATTCAGGGTAAAATTGAAATTCACAAAAAATGTGTAGACGGGAAAAATGGAATCGGTCAAGATGAAGTTGGTCAAATTGTAGACAAAGTCCTAGAAGAAATGAAAATAAATAAGTTTCCAAAATGGGGGAAACGTACCTTCACAATGGGACACGAAAACGGCACATTACTTTTTCGCATAATCTCATTGACAATAGATCGAATCATGGGCACGGCTATATTTTGTCTTTTCAATGTCTCGCAAATATTCAATTTGACATTGAGAAATTGGAGTATTTTATCGCCATTAGGTGGTTGAATGTAAATTTTCATAGCAACTTCAGCATTCTGAGCCAGCTGGCGTGTTAGGGACATATAAACGTCGATGCTATAACGATTGGTGGCAATTTCAGCAAAACTACATTTCATATCCTTCAAAACGGCACCCCTGCGGCTGCAAGTTAGATTTAGAACTTCAAAATTGTAACGGCGATTTGCGGCCTATGGGGTGGGGAAGAATTCAATTGTCAAATCCCAAATGGCCGGTATGAATAAAAACTCACCTCATTGAAATCGAAACGATCCAAAAGAATTAACCAAACTAAAGAAAATACCAACATTATAACTTGAATGCTTTCAGCGTTGTGCAGAAAATAGCATTTTAAACACAGGCTTTTAATGGAAAAATTAATTAAATTTGCATTTACAAGAAAATGAGAAACTAATGACGCAAATTAATTTTTAATAGAAAAAGGTTATATTTAGATAAATTGAATTTGATACTGAGTTTCAAGCAGCAAGGGGGGAGAGAAAAATAAAATATATTCAAATAATTATGAAGGTCTACATAACTGGGAGACCTCCCATGTTAAACGTCCCACCCACTTTACATCAGGCTTGAAAGCATATAAAAATGTAAAAATAGAATATTCATAATTTCCCAAATGAATTTGAATATTTTCGACTTCATGAAAATCAAAATAGTTTTAATTTTTAAACTGAGCACCATTTATAATGAATGAAGTAGGTTATTTTTACAGTTGTCAAGTAAATATTTTGTATGGATTGTGAAGAAATTAAAAATACATTATTATTGAAGTTTCAAAAAATAATTTTTGTGTCAACACTTCGAATATTGATTGAAAACTTTGTGCATTAATAATTCAATCTCATAAACGATGCGGAAGGCATTCTATGTCCAATACAACATGCTGTGTAGTGAGAGGGGCCCTCGAAGATCCACAAAGGATCTTCGACAGAGAAAACTCCTTAAAAATGTCTACTCTATTTAGAAGATAATCAGATGGCCGTGATTGCAATTGGTCCGTCAGCTCGTCCATATATGGATTCACTAACGTTCCATTTTTTTATAGAATGAACGTAATGGTAGCGGACTATTAAAAGTGGTCCTACCAACTACTTGACTTTCGAATCATTTCACATTTTGACTTGTATGTACATAAGTGAAGAGCCGGCCAAAACACCATGATTATAAAATTTCGATTTTCAATTTCGTTATTTTTATCATCGACTTTGATTTTTGTACTTTTCAATATCAAAAGTCGATTTATGGATCAATTAAAAGTCGACCAACACATCTCTAATTCTATCTACAGATGACATCTGCAAATACTTTTTTTTGTATAATGGGATGGTCACACATCGAATCCTATAAAATGTCACATCTTACCTCTTTTACGGACTTCGGAATTATTTTAGATATTGTAGTTGTTCCTTTTTAAGCAAGGATGGGCGAATTCTTTAAGATTCTGTGTTAAGCAATACTTCTTATGACCACTTCGGTTGCCAGTCATACTTTCACATCACAGAGATCATTACCAAATCTCTGCGATGTGAAAGTATGATCTTATTCCCAGTCAGCATTTTTTGAAATTTTTAATCATATTCGAGTCTTTTTTGATCCAGCTGCGCGATTCAAAAGCTGAAATATGAGCGCATTTTCTGGTCATAAAAGACTCATTTTTCGGGAGAAAAACGTGACCTCCCGCGACTCTTCTAAATAAATCACCTATGAGTCTTCCGCTAGATAAGAGTCTTTTTCGACCATTTTCTGATCGTTCTGCGAGTCTTTTTCGAGTCGTTTTCTAATCATTTATTGCGCTTAATCGCTTAATCTTTTTCGAGTTTTTTTAAGTCATTTTTTGATCATTTATGAGTCTTAAGTGAGTAATTTATCAGTCTTTTAAGTGTCATATATCACTCATATGTATATTCATTTAGGAGTCTTTTATGAGTCCCCTTTGTCTTAAATTCGAGTCATTTATGAGTCTAATATGAGTGTTTACGATTATACGAATTACGTACGTGATTTCTAAATATTCGGATGTACCGTAAAAAAAGAATTTAATTATATATGTTCATATAAGATTTTTTTTAAAATAAAAATAATTCAGCTTTTATGATTATAATTTGTACTGTAATACCAATATATGCGATTGTAAAAAATAAAGTAAAAAATTAAATAAGAAAATGAAAAAAAAAAAATTAAAAAAATTAAATTAAAAATGAAAAATCAAAAAATAAAAAATTGGGCCGTTTTCTATTTGTAACGCGGTCTTTAACGAGAATATAATGTTTTTGTAGGCTTGTGTTCATATCCTTGTCGTTGCTTGATTATTTGAGATGATACATATCTGTCCATTTTACTAATTCTTTATATACGTGTTAAAAAGACAAACTTACTTTTGATTACTGTAACTAAATAACAATTTTCTGCACTCAGATCTACCCTGTCCCCTTCCAGCTGTTTGGCAGGCTAATTTGTCTGAAAAAAACCTTTCGGTTTATGCAATAAACACTTTCTGGAAATAGATTATCAAAAAATATATAAGTATTAATAGTTTATAAAGTGGTGAATTAATCAATTAAATACCCAATTTTCTATACTTACAAATCAAGTGCTGTCTCATTTTGCTTTACCAATTCATGTTACTGGACATTTTCTTCATTTTTTCTCATATTCAGTTTTACTTCTTTTTTGCAAAATTAAATTTTCTGTCTCTTTATTTGCCATCGTTTTTATTTTAGCCTTTTCTATTTTGTAATTTAACTTGCTGACATTTTCTTTATAAAAATGAATAAATAAACAAACACTTTTTCATATTTTTTCACTTTTCAATATTATACATTTTTGCTGTTGACGCCTCCACACACTTTTTATAAATGAACCGCAATTTAACCTTTTGATAGTCAGTCCAGAAACAAAATGACCCTTGCATAACAAAACAAGCAGCATTTATTCACGTATCTGTGCAAAATATGATCAAAAAATACATAATTATGATCACTTTTCAAAAAGCTGCAAGATTTTTTTAAGACTAATCATTTTTCAATCTCTAGATGATCACAATACGGTAATAAATAACGGAAAAATGGTCACATTTTGCACATCTCAATGACTGATTTGCGATTCCCCTACATTTTGTTGTTGTATATTAAATTGATCTCTTTTCACTCATTAGAGAGAGTCATTTTCGAGTCGCTTTTCGATCATACAAGTCAGTTTTTTGGTCACCAAGAGGACTCTAAGAAGACTCACCAAAGTGTTTTTTTTTTTTCAAAAACAATCTTCCAAATGCTAGCTGGGTAAGTGTATTGGAAAAGGTAATTCTAGAGTAAGTGATGACAATTGCAGTGCTGCCACTACGTCTAACTTTGTGATTGACTCAGGCTTGTGTCTTCGACATCAAACACAATGGCGTCGGCAAACGCAATGTATGCCCATTAACAAAATGAGGCGATCCGTTTCAACTTTGACTTTGGTTTGAGAAATTAAAACGTCGAAAATTGACTTTACTGTTGAGGTAAAAATCCGAAAATCGACTTTAATGTTTGGCTTCGTATCCCTAGGTAGAAACTCTTTCAGGGAACTTCCTTACACATAGACTTTCTATTCGTTCTCTTTTAAAAGGCGATTTTGCCAAAAGCCCCACAACTTTTCTGTCATTATTTATTTATATATTTTTCATTTATATATTTTTCCGAAATACAACATCAATTCTATATTGGGTACATAAAAGACAAATCATTTCGGTACAGTGCGTCCCTCTAGCAGCATTTCACCAAAGGATTTGTAATCATTCATAAAATTCAGGGAAAAATTGAAATTCACATAAAACGTATAGACGGGAAAAATGGAATCGGTCAAGATGAAGTTGGTCAAGTTGTAGGCAAAGTCCTAGAAAAAAAAAAAAACATAGAAAATAAATAAGTTTCCAAAAGGTAACCCCCCCCCCCCCCTTCCAACGTACCTTCACAATGGGACAAGAAAATGGCATATTACTTTTTCGCATAATCTCATTGAAAAAATATCGAATCAGGGGCACCGCTATATTTTGTCTTTTCAGGGTCTCGCAAATATTCAATTTGATATTCAGAAATTGGATAACTTTATTACCCTTTGGTGGTTGAACGTAAATTTTAATGGCAACTTCAGCATTCTGGGCCAGCTGGCGTGTCACCGACATATAAATGTCGAAACTATAACGATTAGTGGCAATTTAGACAAAACTACATTTCATATCCTTGAGTAGGTCACCCCTACGGCTGCATGTTAGATTTAGAACTTCGAAATTGTAACCGCGATTTGCTGCCTATGGTGTGGGAAAGAATTCAAGTGTCAAATCCTAAATGGACGGGATGAAGAAAAGACTCACCTGATTGAAAGCGGAACGATCCAAAAGGATTAACCAAACTAAAGAAAATAGTAACATTATAACTTGACTGCTTCCAGTATTGTGCAGAAAATAGCACTTGAAACACGGGCTTTTAATGGAAAAATTAAATAAATTTGCATTTGCAAAAAAAGGGAAAATAATAATGCAAATTAATTTATAATAGAAAATGTTGACATTTAGATAAATTGAAATCGATACTGAGCCTCAAGCGGCAAAGGGAAGAAAGAAATAAAAATGCATTAATATTCTGAATGTATACAAAACTTGGAAGATCCATTGAAGGCCTTCCATGTAAAGCGACTGTATCAATAGAATTTTCAAAATTTCCCAAATGGATTTGGATATTTTCGACTTGATGAAAAACGAAATAGTTTTAAATTTTCAAACTGAGCACCATTTAATGTGATGAATGAAGTGGGTTATGTTTACAGTTGTCCAGTCATTATTTTGTATAGATTGAGAAGAAATTAAAAATACATTATTATTGAGGTTCTAAAAATTAATTTTTGTGTCAACACTTCGAATATTGATTGAAAACTTTGCGCACAATCATTTAATCTCACAAACGATGATGTGGGGATTCTACAGTGAAGCACATAAATATTGGCACACCGATAGTTTTCAAATTAAACATTTGATTTTATGCTCGGCATGCAATGTGTAGTGGCTGAAAATTATATTTTTACATAAATGAAAGTATCTAGCACCACATACAATTTTGTTTTTATATCAAATTAGTTAGTATAACTTTCTTTAATGCATAAACTAATAAAAGTCAATTTTTTTGTGCACAAAAGTATTGGCACACCTGTATTACTATGTGGCAACTATGTAAAAAATTTATATTCTGGCAACGTCATTGCTGAAAATATGAACGGCTATTTACCGTCATAAACCACCAAGCTGTTTTTTTCCAGAAATTCGAGCAGTTGTAAAAATGATTGGTTGAAAATAAAGAAAGCACAGAATCCCAGCGTAAAATTATTATTCATTTACACAATCAAGGTAAATAAATAAATTGAGCATTTATGGGAAGAACTGGACAGACGGGTTAAAAAACGTGCAATTTCAAATAAAACTGAGCTGCAATTAGCCTTATTGGAAGAATGGCAGAATATAGGCGAAGAAACGACCTAAAGATTGGTCCAATCTAAAACGAATGTATGCAGTTATTTAACAGAAGGGATTGCCAACAAAATATTAATTCGCAAATATTTTCTATATTCATAAATTTTATTTTATGTGTTCCAATACTTTTGTGCTATGAAAATGTGCCTTTTTTATTTTTTTGGTATGAAATAATAGAAATGATAGGCCAAAAATGCATCATATAGTTTCAAATTCATTCATTTATATAAATATATTTTTATGCAAACATTATTATGAGTGGGGTGCCAAAATTTATGTGTGTCACTGTATGTCCGATATATAGTGAAAGGGGGCCCTAATTTAAGAATCCCCAGATGATAGGGATTGCAATTGGTCCATCAGCTTGACCACATGCATATGGACTCACTGACATTCTAACTTTTTTATTGAGTGAACGTAATGATAGATTTAATGCAAAATTTATTTCATGAGTGGTTATATATTATTTTTCCACGTTAACAGGGAAACTCAGTAGCCCTGTCATCCAGTCTACACGGCTCTCTGCCCCTTGTACAATGTACAATTTTATTTATGTACAATTTCTGGCACATGTGCCAACATTTTCCATTAATCTTCTGTTACATTTTACAAATGAGTATTTAATTATTTTGTTTTAATAGTTTTTATTGTTTTATAATTAAAAGCCAAAGTGATTTTCAAAGTTTTCGTAACTTTCCACCGCCCATCATTTGGTTGAAAATATTTAAAGCATAATGTTGTGGCACTTACTAATTGTGTTGGCCGTTTTTAATTGGCTGCCTCTAAGTCAGGTAACATTTTTGCCAATCTTGTCCTTTAAAACTATTTCATTGCCCTTTCCTCCCCGAAGGCAGCAACTCGACATTATAACTTTGAAATTCACAATGTTACGTGCACCCAAAAAGGTCCGGAAATAGCGAATATGAAATGTAGCATCAGAAAAGTTGTCAAAAATAGTTACAGTCTAAATGTAGAATTTTTACTTGGGCGCCAGTGGTCAGAGAATGCTGAAATCGCTATGAAAATTCACATTCAATCATCGAAATCGACGAAAATCGTTAAATTCCTGGATTCTAAATTGAATATATGTGATACGTTGAAGAGACAAAATGTTCAGATACCCATGGTTCGAACTATTTTTAATGAAATCACAAGGAAGAGCAATTTGCCCTACTCTTGTCCACTGGTTAAGGTGTGTATTTGTGAAAAGTGGTTGGTTGTTGGAGGAAATAATTGTTGAATTTTAATTTGCAGGATTTCTATTACAACATGACCAACTTTATGTTGACGGATGCCATTTTTCCGATTTATACATTATATGTTAATTTTAATTATACATTGTATTTTATTAACGATAATAAGCCAATGGCTGTGCTGTTGTTGCAAGGACGTACCATTGGAAAGTAGTTGTGATAAAATGTGTGCTGGAAATACCTCTCTTTCACAAAAAGGACATTAAAGAGCATTCCAAAAATAGAAAAAAATGTGAACCTTTTACCAGATGTTTATTGGCTCATTGAAGATCCATTGAGTCCAATTTGGTTGGCGAAGTGGCCAGTGATTCTATATTGAAAAACAGAAGGTCTTTTTTGCTATTTCTGGGGATCAGTTAGAATTTTTCGACCTGATCAGAAGTCAGAGAGCCTATGTTGTGGCTAGCGAATCTATATATGCTACCCGAAATGGGCAGCGAGTTTTTATTGGCATGTGTGGGGATCACCGAGTCTATACTGTCTTGCTGAAAGCCTGTAGTGGCGAGATGAGGCTTCAGCGTGGCTAAGTTTGCGAGATGAGTGAGTATATTTCTGAGGGGAAATAATCCAAATTTACTGTGCAAAAAAAACCGAAACGGTTCGGAAGATATCCAACAACTGGGCCAGGTAAATAGGACTAAAGGTAAAACACAAAAAATTTGAGCTATGTCTATCACCATGAAGACTAAAATCGGGCAAAGAGATGAACCAGTCTTCCCGAATAAGGCAATTAGTATCTCCATTGAAGTCAAATACCTAGAAATAATCCTGCATGAAAAAAAAACTTAACCGGAAGGACTTCATTAACGAAAGAACAACCAAAGCACAGAGATACTGGTACGGATCTGAAGAAGGACAATAGGTTCAAGTTGGAACTGTATTGAAAAATGACTAACTGCCTGTACAGAAGCCTAATTTGACCTGTGTAATATAAAAATCTAGCAAAACCGCCAAAAAATGTCTAGGCATCTGCGGGACAACGAGGGGTTTAAGGACTATTCTTAATGAAGGACTTCACATAGTTTTTGACATCGGTTTATAAAATGAAAGTCAGATGTAGTAGAAGGGACAGTCTGTGAAAATTCAGAAGGTCAGCAGGAACCTGGCCAAGGCCCAAGGAATTCGCGAGACTAAACAATTCTGGTAAATTTGAATTATCAGGTGAGTAGAGTATGTAAAGTACTCTGAACAATGGAGCAGGGGACGCAACGTCGACGAGAAATGATCCGGGGGTAGTGAGTTATACGAAGTCACTGAGAATCGAAGAACTATGTCAAAAAGTAAGCTGGACCGGTGAGTTGGTACAAGCCCTCAGAAATGGGAGTGAGTTGAGCAATGACGCTCAACGGGTCTTCGAGCCCGGTGAGTCGCCAAAAGCCGTCGGAGATTTGCTGTTTTAGTAACTAAAACGAGGTGTGTGTTGCAGGGGTTTCCCCGGCATGGATACCCTTTCAGGTAACGGTATAAATCTGGTAGCTCTACGTACCAACGGGCCTCAATTGATGTCGAAAGGGGTTAGTGAGTCTATTGTGGCAAGCTTATAGCTTGGCGTCTAAAATGTAGATGGTCTATGTTTGGAATGGACAATAGGATCCCTTTTAATATGACAAAGGTTCAGCTATTTTATATTGAACTTCGGGTTCGGCTGTCGAAAAGTCAGCGAATTTTCTCGAATTGGCAGAGAAGACAGCGAGTCTTCATTGGGAAGCTGAAAGACAGTTCAAGGCATATTAGCTAGCAGAGGAATAAGCGCGTAGGATCTTTCTGGGCATGTAGAGGAATCACCTAGTCTATTTTGTCAAGTTATAGGTCAAAATTTCAGCAATTCTACCTCTGAATACTGAGGGATTGGCGAGTCTATATTCAACACTGAAGGGTCTGTGAGCAACGGGGTCAGTGTCGGAATGAGAAGTCAGCGAAACTATTTTTACAGTTGAACGAATTAAAGGATCTATCTTGACATGTATAGGGTTCAGCGAGTCTATTTTGTCAAGCTGAAAGGCAATTCCAGAGGTCTGAGGACTTAGCGATTATATGTTGGCTGCCAGAGAGATCAGCGTCTCTATTTTGTCAACTCTTCTTTGGCGAGCTAAGGTGTCAGTGGGTCTATATTTGGTAATTAAATCGGTCATAAGGTTTTTTATACCCTCTACCATACTATGGAGGGTATATTAAATTTGTCATTCCGTTTGTAACTCCTCGAAATACTCATGTCAGACCCATCAAAGTATATATTTTTTAGATCAGCGTAAAATTCTAAGTCGATTTAGCCATGTCCGTCTGTCTGTCTGTTGTATTCACGCTATCTGTCGAACGAATTGAAAGAGAAGGCTAAAATTTTGCACACATGTTTATTTTTTGAGAAGGCAGGTTAAGTTCATAAATGGGCCATGTAGGTCCACGTTTTCATATAGCCCCCATATAACGGTACCTCCCGATATTCGGTATTTTGATGATTTTAGAAACATTATTCACCGGAATTGTTTCAACTTTGGTATTTGGTATTTGGTAAATGGATACTACAGCCTATGACAGAAAATTATCTGTGCAGGCCCACGTCTTCGTATAGCCCCCATATAACTGTACCTCCCAAAATTTGGTATTTTGATGATTTTAGCGTCATTATTCACCGGAATTGTTTCAAATTACATATTTAGAGTTCGTAATGGGAACTACAGTCTGTGACAGAAAATTTTCTATGCAGGTCCAGGTCTTCGTATGGGCCCCATATATCAGTACCTCCC